CCTGCAGAGTGCCTACCTCTACTACAACGTGACAGAGAAGGTGCGGCACATGATGGAGTCCTACTTCCGCCTGGAGGTCCCGCTCCACTTCTCCTACTCCCACCTGGTGTGCCGCACAGCCATCGATGGTGAGCATGGCCTCGGAGGAGTACAACCCAAGGAGAAGCAAGTCTCCTTCAGCCTCTTGTCCTGTCTGGGTCTCCGCCAACAGCTGGGGTGGTCTGGTCTTGGACCTTTCCTTGCTGCTCCCTAGCCTGCTCCTTTTCCCAAAAGGAAGGTGTGGGGAGCTTGTCCCTAAGCCCGGTTTGGGAAGATGAGCAGCTCTGTTGGTTGCCTCCAACGGGCAGGTGGCTTCATGCCATATAGAATTTCAGCACTTGGAGGCATTTGGGATTGGGTGCTGGGAGAGACTGTGTCTGGAGGGCCATGGAGGTGCCATGGGACAAGTCAACAGAGGCTTGTGCCACCCGAATGGCCTCTCACTCCTGCGAGTGAAGGGCTTTAGGCTACAGGTGACTTTCTTGTCACCTCCAAGCACATGGCACTTGGGGACAGATCCTGGTCCTGCAGGGACAAAGGGATCTTGACGTGCCAGGTCTTGTTCCACCCTAGAGAAGCAAGAAGGCCGGAGTGACAACAGCCACGAAGTGCATGTGGACAACTGCATCCTCAATGCGGAGGCCCTGGTGTGCGTGAAGGAACCTCCAGCCTACACCTTCCGGGATTACAGGTACCGGTGGTGTCTATCAGCCAGAGCTTCTCCACCTGAGGGCACCATGGCTTGGTGGCACCTGGGTTGGAAGGAGCAGGATGGGAGGGCAACCCAACCTGGGCTCTCCTGCCTCTGGCTCTTGCCATGGTGTTGGAGAGCTCCCAGTTGCTGGAGCTGTCGCTTGGGGTGATGGTCGCCACCTCCGTTTGTCCTCTGCTTCCTTTAGTGCCATCCTCTACCTCAACGGGGACTTTGAAGGAGGAGCTTTCTACTTCACCGAGCTGGATGCCAAGACCGAGACCGTAAGTAGCTCAGCTCCTTGAGGATCCATGTGCAGCACCAAACCCAGCTCCTGCCTGCTGGCCCCATCCCCTGTGCCACCACAAGGGGTGAAGTTGGGTTGGGGGGGACAAACTCATCCCCTCACCCACCGGGTGCATCCTGACCAGGGTCTCCCATCTGTTGCAGGCAGAGGTTCAGCCACAGTGCGGCCGTGCCGTGGGCTTCTCCTCCGGCTCAGAGAACCCCCACGGAGTGAAAGCCGTGACCAAGGGCCAACGCTGCGCCATCGCCCTCTGGTTCACCCTGGACCCTCGGCACAGCGAGCGGGTAAGCCCCCTCCCTGGCAGTTGGGTGGTTTTTTTTGGGGGGACAATGTGGCCATGCTTATCCCCGTGGGTCTGCCCCACAGGAGCGCGTGCAGGCAGACGACCTGGTGAAGATGCTTTTCGGTGCAGAAGAGGGGGATTTGCTGCAGGAGACGGAGACGGAGCAGGAACCGTCGGCTGCCGTTGCGGTGGGGAAGGATGAGCTGTGATGTCCCATGGGGACCAGGACGTCCCTGCTGGGACCAGCGACACCAGCGTTGCGGCTTCAGGCTGCTCAGCCGTGGGGCTGCCAGACGGGTCCCCCTTCTGCCCCCAACCGACATGGGATGGGGAATTGGGAGATGCTCTGCACCACCCCTGCAGCATCCAGCATCCCCCCTGCGGAGCTGCCACTTGACCT